TCGGCAGAACCGCCATCAGAAAGCAAGGAAGTCCAGGGTGAGACGGGGCCCTCCACTGTTAGAAGCTCACGGAAGCGCTATGTAGCCATTAGATTTCTGAAGGAAGGAGTTAGGCTGAGGAATCTTTTTCCGGCAGTGTTTTTTTTTTCTTGGAGGACCTCCAGTTCAGAGAAGCAGCTTCCAACACAGGAAAGGTACGGGGCTACCAAGGGCTACAGGGATCTGGGCATTCCCGCAGGTAAGTCTCTGTATGACCACGGTCCACCTCCATCAGTGTTGTGCACACAGTCAGCTAGTAGGTGGGAGGAAGAAGAAGGGAAAGGGTGGGCAAACAAAAAAAAAAGAGAAAGGCTCAATACAGTAACTGGTGACAAACCGTCTCTGACACCGGCTGAACAGTTCAACCACAGTGAGCATCTCTCTTACTGAGACAAGAACATGCAGGTGTGAAGAGCTTCTGTGGTCAGCCTGGAACACTGCCCCTGCTGAATACAGTAACTCAATTCCTCACCCGCAAACTCTTCTCACCCTTACGGTCTTTTTTTAACGCCAAAACCTCATGTTCAGACTACACCACCTTCTCTCGCAAGAAGAGTGTTTCGCGTACTCACGAGGGTGTGTATCTCAGGTTAGTTCAGGTGAGAAGGGTCCTGACGAGTGCTGCCTCAAACCACAGCCAGCTAGGACGGGAGGGATCAGCCTACCCGGAGCTTTAACGCTGCGCGGCCTTTGGAAAACAGCTATTCCAGCCATTACATTTTGCTTTTACAAAGTAACGTGGAGTTTGGTTTCAGTTTTACACACCTGTTTTCACCCAGAACACCCAGAGTGCACCACTGTGGCCCCCTCCTCAGATACAGAGCAGTTAGTGGTCTGTCCCCCACCCCCCGGCTCTGAACTTTCCGCAAGAAGAGCAGCATTACCTTATTAAGGACAGGCTTTGTGGAGAGAACATCGTAAATTGTCGGTAAGGAGAGGTTCTGAAAGAAAATAACACACAGATATTAATGGCCATTAACCCATTTAGTATGAAGGCTGAGCGCTGTATTGTGTTAAATTAGGTAAGAAAATGCTTGCAGGAAACCCCGCTAGGTGCTAAAACTGAACCACACTCGCGCACAGGGCTGGCTGCCGCTTTGTTACGCAGCAGCACAGACAAACAGTCACGAAACCGTTAGCCACTTCCGTCGTTACCGCCGTGCTTGCAAATGCCCCGAATGCTCCTGGCTGTGCCAGATGCGCACCGCGACGCCCGAGTTTCGAAACAGCGAGACGCGGGGTTCGGGGGATGTTTACCTCTTGCGTCGTCTGGTTCAGGCATTTCATTGCAGGTGTTCTACGATTATCCAAGATTAGCGGAGGCTTCCAGCGGTCATAGTTCGTTTCTAACACGTACCACGTGCCTTTCTTGATATCAAGGCTGGAAAAGAGGTGTAGGTTTGCGTGTGTTTGCTGTCCCTATACAGTAAGTACAAAGGTAGTACATACTATATACAGCTGGATGGTTTTTAGGCTTGCTGTGGTATTTTTCAATGGTGCTAAAGTGAGCTCTTGCACAACAGAAGTCACAAGAAAGACAGGACGCCTGGAAGGCTGAGGCAGGTGCCAGGTCAAGCATACTCACTCCCAGATATCCAGAGTAGCTGTCCTGGAACGAGTTATCACACACCCTTCTCCAGAATTTTTTCCACCCAGTATAAAGTAAGCAGGAGCCAGCAGTCTTGTTTTTGCCAGTTTGTCTTTTGCATCCTGGTAACTGCAGATGACAAAGCAGTGTTGGACTGTGACACACTACAAATGGTTTGAGTACAGAAGAATGAGTTTCACAGGAAAAGTGTGGGTAGTTACACCTTTCTTCCCCCTTCTCAAATAAACCAAGGATACAATTTGAGGAGTTTTAAGATGATCACGTGTGATGCCTCCCCCCTCCCTGCCCCGGAGCACCAGCAAAATCAGAACTAGTTAAGGTCAGGGCTCCTAAGAAGACCGCTGCATCACTGGATGCTAAGGACACACCTACGGTACTCCAGCCAGCTGGAAGCAAAGGGGATCAGAGCAGTAGCATATTTAGGGGGTGAGGGGAAATACCTCGTAGCGTTCTCTAATACTGTTCTGGTAAGAAAGCCCATCCACATTCCATCTCTTCTACCAAGAAACCATTCGAAGATTCCTGCAAAATATCACTGGTCACAACAATTTGTTTTCAGGAGGTTTACTCGCGCTATTCGCGCTTTCACAGCCTTTAAACAGCACAGGGTTTGATCTACTCATCTGGAATCCCTTCTCCATTTGTGTGCCTGTTCATTCAGGGGAGTGCTACGCCCGAGGTCTGGAAAGCTCGTACAGAAATAACGGAAGAAATGAGTGTCACTCACCGACATAACCCCCATCAAGACTGAAACGCTCATTCATCGTCAGAGTGAACAAGTCCTGAAAAGCATTAAACAAGCCAACCGTCACCCACGGCCAGCCCAGTAGCACCAGTGATGCCACTATACCATTAGCACCAGTAATAAACAAGAGGGAGCACTTCAAATTACAGGGCGTTCAGCAGACTCTTCCCCTGTGGGCAATGGGCTGCAAGATCAAGCTCATGCAGAGAAGGACCTAATTTCTCACCGACTGAGTGGAAATGGTAATTTACAGTCTTCCCACCCAGCACAGCAATCCACCAAAGGCTCAAGCCTGTGGCCGTTTTCCTCCCGGGCCCTGCTGTCACCAAATTACCAGTTTTCCTTCCCCCCACATGTGTAACCTTCTTCTCAGACCCCTGAACACTCTTCTAGTTCGTGGGTGGATTTTTACGTCCCCGTGCTAAGTACACCCTGACTGGTGACTGCTGTTCACGGTTCCATCCATGCTACTTGGAACTTGGAATTCAAATCCCAGTCTCCTCCAACTCGCTTTTCTTTCAAAGGAAAGTGGATTTCAGCTACACTGGATCATTTTCAGAAGGGACCGTTCCCAATTTATTCGACCAGAAGACAAAAATAAATGGATACAGTGCAGGCATTTATGCCAGGAATGCTCTTATGAACAAGGATAAAGGCAGGGCATGCAGAAAAGCAGGAGCTGTGCTAAGCTGGAGACCCTGGTACAGTTCTGTACTGCTGGTTTTTAAGATGCAGTTAAAACCCAGATTTCAGATGACCATTAAAAAATATATATTTATATTGCAATGTAGGACTCCTTCTGCATGGAGGAAGGCGAAAGATTTAAAGTAGCACAAGTATGCCGTGTCATCTCTGGGATCACAGCAGCATCTATTTGCTAGCAAGAAACAGCCACTTGCGTGCACTGTACTCACTTCTGCTCAGAACTCAGCGCTGGTTTAAGAACTGTCCAGACACAGCTGTTTTGTTTAGGCAATCTCCTTTTACAAGGCAGAGTGCGGCACTGCTTTCTTGCACCCTTCTTCACACAGCTATACCGTGTCCCAGAACAATTAAGGGATCATTTATTTAAAGAGATCCCAAGGCAGAGGAGGAAAGCAGGAAAATGTGCATCTTAAAGGGAAGTCTGAAGCATTATCAACAAATTGACAAGCCCCTCCCCGTACTTACCGGTTTGACTCCAGACACCATGCCGATGTATCCTGCAAAATTGGTAGACTTGAACACCGTTTTGTTGTTTCTCTGGAAGTCCAAGCTGACCACTATCGGCTTCAACACCTGAGTTACAGTCCAGGAGTTGTTTTTAACATCCCATCTGTGGAAGTCAGTACAGCATTTGAAATTTCCCTTCCTCAGCAGCTTTTAAAACCCTCCCTCGCAGCACTCAGGCTTCCTGCGCGTAACGCCTGTCCTCTGACCTTACTCATGCCAGTGGACACCAGTGCTGGGCAGTTACCCGAGCAGCACAAGCGAGGGACAGGCAGGAACTCTAAACCTACGGGCAGTCAGCAGAAAGAACCAAGCTTTGTTGGAACCAAGAGCACAGACACTACTTGGTATTAAAGGGCATCACCATCGCAGCTGGTTTGGTTTGACACACACAGCTTTGTTCTATTCACAGACTCACAGAATGGTTTGGGTGGGAAGTGCCCTTAAAGACCATCCAGGTCCAACCCCCCTGCCATGGGCAGGGACCCCTTCCACTAGACCAGGTTGCTCAAAGCCTCATCCAGCCTGGCCTTGGACACTTCCAGGGATGGGGCATCCACAGCTTCTCTGAAAAAGGGAGGACAGCCGGAATAATGCCTGTGACACCAAACCTGCTGTGTCCTGAAAGCCTGGCTGGCTTGTTCTGCAGCAGAATGAGCTGGTTCCCTCAAATTCTTACGCTACTGGATTTGTTCTAAATGAAGGGGAGACCCAATTCTAGTTTGTAAAATAAGCCAGGACAGTCTTTGGGCAAGAGGGAGCTAAGGAAGAGTTAGCAGACCATTAAATTCTCTGGAAACAATCCAGGTTCTGGGAACAGCTTTGAAAAGTTGCCTTAGTTTTCAGGGAGCATCACCCAGTATTCCTGACAAGTAGGAGAAGTTCAACCCAAGCCAAACCAAGAGACAGGTGAAGTCACAGTTGACGGCATTTGCATTTTTGATGGGCAGGTAAGAATTTTAATGGAGGCGGACATTTAAATTCCATCTGGGCACTGAGAGGCATCTGGATGAGTGACATTAAAAAATATACTGGGATAGTAAAAACCATCACTGACACAGCTGACCACAAGGTATGAAATGAGAACTGAAAGAGAATCCAGTGCTAGGCAACAAACTACAGAGTTTGTATCCAAACGAATGATAATGGTACATCAGTGGAATACAAATCACTGGCTTCTGAGTAGAATGATGAATGATGGGAAGGGCCGAGAGAGCACAGTACAGTAACTATGATGAAAAAACCACCACAAAACCAAGCCCCAAACCAATGCACATTTCACTCCATACACTAAAATCGATTTCTGTCCCATCACGTAGAGAACAAGAGGTACTGCGCCTCAGAGATAAGGTTACGTGGGCTGTTCTGTGGTTCTCCAGCTGAGAAAATGCTGCGTTAGCTCCGAAGGCAACGGTTGTACAAAGTCATTCCCGACAAGACCGGAGCAGTCTGACACAAGATCAGCACAACAAGGCTTTGTTCATTTCAGCCTTTTTTTCCACAATGTGCAATGAAGAAATACTTGTCACAGTCCTAACAACACCCAATTCATCATTTAGACTCAAAGAATGCTTGTGAACATTTCAAGTTCAGCTAGCTTTTTCTCTGGCTTTAAAAAAAAAAAGGGCACAAGTTTAGGTACTTACCCAAGAAAGAGTCCAAAATCCAAGTTTCTAGCATGGTACAGCTTCCCTACATAAAAAAAACCCAAATGAATAGATAGATAGATAGATAGATAGATAGACAGACAGACAGACAGACAGTTAAATAAATCCAATTTTCTAAAGAGAGAGACATATATTTCAGCTTAGGAAACCAGAAAATGAGTAAGTGGGAAAAATACCTGGGAAAGGAAGCAGGGAAAATACCACTGTCTAGTGGCTCTTCTCAGAAGCACAGAAAAATGGTAGGGTTTTTGGATCAGAGAAGTGTTTTGCCATAACTGAAATTAAGTAATCCTGTAAACTGCTGTCCAGCTCAGCCTCACATGCTTTCCATACTGTCTTAACGCAATGCTAATTCTTTGAGCTTCCTCTAACAGGGAGAGGTTTGTAAGCCCTCAGAATTCTTCCGAAATTTCCTAAGCTGAAACACGTGCAGACAAGGGCTGCAGGACTGAGTAAGGGAATGAAAGTGACTCTTTTCTTAAAGCATACTATCCGTTTTCTCCAGCACCATACATATGCAATAGCTGGGAACTAGATACAAAACCAGAATCCCTCATGGCACCGAGAGAAAGTATTGGGTGTCTGGTTGGTTTCTTTCTCCTGGAAAAATAAATGCCACCTATTAAGGAAAAAAACCCCAAACCAACCAACAATCAACCCCCCAAACCTCCAGCAAAACCAAAGAGTCTTTGAAAGTATTTTTTCCTTTTTTTTAACCTAAGACACCTGTGATGTCTTACTCCCTTCTCAAGGAATACCTTTTTATACCACTGCTTTTAGTCTGTTCCACCAGACCTGCTTGCCTGCAGTTGAGGACCGTGTTCGTATAACTGAGGGGGACCCTCTCCTACGTAAGAGAAAACTGTTAACACTATTCCGGGTCGCATTACCTGTTTTATCTTCTGCCACTATTGATGTACATACAGTAAAAATTTCATAAAAGATGTTAAAAATAACAATTTCCCCTAGAAGAAAAAGAAACAAAGTTCAACAGTTTGAAACTTCTCCCATGAACAGAAAAAAAAAAGGTTAGAAAAAAGCATACTGCAAAGTTCAGCGTTCTGTAACATTTCTCTTAAGAATTTCTGTTTAAATCTCATTTGTTCTTTGAAACAGCTGCTTCAGCAAAATCAAGAGCTTCCTGAAAGGCAGACAGAAGGATCAGAATCCCTCTGCCTTCTGCCTTACCGTACAGAAAGATGACAACCATTGGTACTTCCTCTTCTGCAAACTTCAAAACCAGCTGTAACGTTCACTTGAAAGAAGAAAGCTGCTGTGTGTGCCACTATTCCCAGAGGAGAGCTGCTGACTAGAACCAGGTGTACTGCCCCTGCATGAGGGAAGCAGTGGGAGCAGGTCTGTGCACCTCCTCTGTCTCAATTCTGAAAGAATTCAGTGCCCCCTCCTCAGCCGGAATTGTACTCCTCTGCAGGAGGTGTGGAAGGAAGGCAGGGGGATGTGCCAAGGCTCACAAGAGAAAGCAAGCACAGCATGAAACTGAGCCCTGCCTTCTGGGTATGCCCACAGCAGGCACACAGCTGAACGGGAAACCTCTGAGAATCAAGGATTCCCTCGAATTTTGGTGCACGGGAGCTGAGACTTGCTCCACTTCCCGAAACTCAGCAGTGAGAAGCTACAGCTCTGCAGAGAAGTCCCAGCCTGATCAAAGGCTGATTTATTGCCCTTCTCCTCTAAAATACTGTTTTCATTTAGTGTGAGATGCAATTTACTGCTTCATCTGCTTATTCACTAATTCATTTGCTAATGCCAGGGTGACTGCAGCTGTACTGCAGACTGGTACACATACTGATTCTAAACATCTGGATCCCTAGTTTTCCCCTACGTTAACAAAGCGTTGGAAACTATTACCCAAAGGAATCCCAGATGAATTTGCAATCCCTTGGAGTTCTTCATTGAAAGGATAAGGAAGCGTGGCAGTCAGATGAGCCTGAAAGGAAGAGTTTTGTACGTTGTTTGTGTAAATCAATTCTATTTTGTCACTTAAACCGCCCCCGACAGGTACATCCTTCTCATGACTCTTAAACTGAGTATTTAATTCCTCTGCAGCCAGCAGAACTTGGGGATGTTTGCAGAGTACTTGGAAGACAAGTACATACTTAAGGAAAGCAAAAACTATTACTTATCAAAATACTGACGTGTGAGCAATAGAGGTCAGCACAGGATCTTAATCACACTTAGCAGCAACAGACAGAGCACAGTGAAGTGGGACACTTAGACGTTAAGAACCCAACTGGAACTGGGCTTGACGTCAGTGTTTATGGGAATCCCTAACTTTCACACATTGGGTTGACTGCCTGTATCTGCCACCTTTGTGTCAACCCCACGCAGGCACGCAGGGATATGAAAGAAGTGTGGCCAGCAGGACCTAAGCCTGCTGCAAATAAACATGAGAGACTCTACGCTGTCTTTGGCACTACATTGTTCTCCCCTTTAATCCGAACCACATTATTTTTCAAGGTGAGACCTGGTCAGAATAAAAACCTGATTTTATCCTGCTGTTTAAAAGGAGCTGAACATGGCAAAGAGAATGTCAGTGAAGTGTTTTGCTACAGCGACTAAGCCAGTAGCACATCTGCCTAGTGTGACTAAACCAAACTCGAAAAGATCTTAGAAAAAATTAGGGGAGGGACACATGCATTTCAGGTTTGATGGTTTCAGGGTAATTCATAGAATCATAGAATGGTTAGGGTTGGAAGGGACCTTAAAGATCATCTAGTTCCAACCCCCCTGCCATGGGCAGGGACACCTTCCACTAGACCAGGTTGCTCAAAGCCACATCCAGCCTGGCCTTGAACACTTCCAGGGATGGGACATCCACAGCTTCTCTGGGCAACCTGTTCCAGTGCCTCACCACCCTCTCTGTGAAGAATTTCTTCCTGACATCTAATCTAAACCTCCTTGATTTCAATTTATACCCATTACCCCTTGTCCTATCACTTCAGAGTAGGCAAGAAGGCAGTATTTTACCAAGAAGGCAAAATTTCAGAGCAACTCTCAGAAACAGCATTTTAGTTCTGAAAGTGGAAGAATTATCATTTGTAAAGCTCTTAATTGCCAAATTTAATAGCAATCTAATACTGGCAGTCAGAACATAGAGTAATAAAATAATGAAGCTGAGAATACTTACTATTTTTTTATCCACTATGTCAACAACTTTGCCGCTGGGGAAGAAGGTATTTGCTATATCTTTAATATTCTGGACCACAGCCTTCAGCTAAAAAGAACAAGGACTTTTATTGAATAGAAGATCTAACAGAAATCCTTCACGTACTTTTGAAAAAAAAAAATTATTGTTGAAAAAAGTGTGTAAAGAAAGTGCTAAATGTGGTGTTCTTAGTGAGAAAAACACCCCCAACTCCCCATTAAAGAGTCACTTTTCAAACTTTATTCAAATAACTTTCTAGATTAGCTCCAACATACCCCTCTACCAGAGAAAATGAATTAAGAGGAAAAAGGCATCCTCGCCTTCTGCTACTTTGATCCCATTCTAATACTGTGCACTCTCCTATCTTTAAAAATGCAAGTTAAAACCTCTTTGCTTAAGCACCAATGTTCTTGAAGCCAAAAAGACTCACTAAATTTCTTACAAAAGCACATGCTTTCCATTTGCGACACATGAATGGCCACAAATAGAGTTCCACTCTATGTGATCTAACTCCAAAGTACACGGGAGATAAAACCTATCAGAATTTAAGGCGTAACCTGAAGCCTCCAACGCCCTCAGGCTTAAATGAGGCTTTTGAAATAAATATTATGGTGTTAGTAGAGTTTATCTGGCTTTCAGAGTTGAAAGGTCAAAGTCAGCAGGGATACCCGGCCTTTTGTGAGAAACGAAGCATCACTGAATTGAATTTTCGGCAAGCTTCAGAGGAACAGCTGTTCTAAGCAGCTGGAAATAGGCTCGAGTATTTTTACAATCATTTCTGCTGTGTAAACACCAGTGCTGCAACCAGCATCCCTGAAAAGGGCAGGAAGTCCTTCATTTCCCCCTCGCCACTTCATCATCTCACACAGTGCTTTAAGAGAAGCAGGGATGTGCCAAGGAGAAGGGATGCTGCCGCAGTTTCACTTCAGTTTGCTGTCCCTGTGGGGTACTTCTCCCCCTTCCTTCTGTATTACTTCAAGACTGAAGAGCCTTGATAAGCGGAAGCCTGCTTTATGCCACGCCGTTTTCATTCCTCTACATCCCAAACACCAGTGCACCTAGGCTGGATGCTGGCAGCTCAAGTGTTGAACAGAAAAAAGATTCACTCAAGCACTTATTTTAGTCTAGCAGCATATTAAAGAAGTCAGCTGCAAACATTATCCCTTTCAGAGAATTTTACCACACAGGTATACCTTCCCAAAGCTTTTTTCCAAACTAAAAGGCCACATGCTAGTTTTGTACCTGCTAAGCTTCAAATCAAGCTCTGCCTTTCATACCTCTGTCTTTTTGTCGTGCATCAAGTTATCCCATCTTTTGCTGGGAGGTAAATCAAGATTTATGACATAGGTGGGTACATTCCCTTTGAACCTGAAAGATAAGCATGAGTTCAAATTTAAGGAAGGCTTTGAAAAAACATCTGATGAAATAGGTGCTTTCCACCTGTAACTAGCATTTTCTAGATCTGCAACAGGAACAAGTTACAAAAAACCCCGTTTGGACTGCAGATCAATACTTTTCTGTACTCTGTTAGACGAAATGAATCAGATCACTTACGTTGGTCCTGAAGGAGGGTAGGTTTTACTCCTGCACTCTTCTCCATACTGTAAAGACAGTGAAACATTACTATGTAGCTTCTTTGCTGAAACGTTTTATTACTTCCATCAGACTTAGTTTTCAATTAAACCTTTAAGACTAGTCAGCTAATTCAATTCATGATGATTTGGCAATATAGGAAGTCTTGGGACTTTGGAAAGGGAGAATACAAGAGGCAGGGGACAAACAGCAACGTCCCCGTGCTGTCTGACAAACCTTCAGACAACCTGCCCCATGGCAGTCCAAAGCAAGCACAAGTTTATGATAAATACCCAAACCCATTCCTACGTGGTGTGATTCAACGGGGAGCACTCCCGAAGCGCATTCTTTAGTCTAAAGCGCAGAAACCGTACACCTCAGTATGGACCAGTTTGTTCTGTTTGTGCATAATCTCACTGTTCAGCGCCACCCGTAACCGCTTAGCGTGGAGCTTCGCTGAGCAGCTGGGGCAGAGGAAGCGCAGGGAACTGCGGGCAGATCACTCAGAACGGGCGATACAGCGTGACGCTTATTTAGTGTGGGAAAGCGCTGCTGAGCTGGTGCTGAACATTATGAGAGGTGCATTTCAGGAATGTAACTAGAAACTAGTTGCTTGGGTTCCTGTAAGCTGGGCTGGTTACAGATGCAAGTCTGAGAACTATATTTAGGTGTGCTCCAAGTGAAGGCAAGGGTGTTTTCCCATTGGTTACATAAACCATGCATATACATACATAAACATATGCACATACACGCCACAATTATAATTGCATGTTTTACCCAGGGAAATACAAGCAAATGCCTACTAGCCACACTGGTGCTTCAAGCCAGTTGAGAGCAGACCGGGTTTGGTGCCCGAGCTACCTGAGCCCATCTGTAGCCTCCTAAGAGCACAGTATGTCCCACTGGGAGAAAGGAAAGGGGCACATGCTATTCCGGGGGTCCATACAAAGGCTCCTAGAGCACAAGGGTTTGGCAGACAGAACAGAAACAAAAGTATGTACGGATCCTTCCACCGCTTCCCTCACTCCCCGCCCTGGATTTCCAATATTTATTTGGCTGTACTAAGCAGATTACTTTACTAGCATGTCCTTATAATGCATTCTGCCTCCAGCAGAAACTGAGACGAGATCTCTAGCAGCTACGTGCCTGGGACAAACAAGCTAACCGATGTCCATGGGGGCCACTGTCTGGTTTTAATGCACGAGACCAGTAAAACGGTGTCTTACACAATCCTACGGACTCTGAACACCAGCATAATTTGTTACAACTGGAAATGGGAATTTTAAAGTGGGATTGTTTTCCGTGTGTTACCATGTGTTTTGTTTTTGTATTGTTTCAAGTAGCTGGGAGAAATCATGGGATCAATTTTGGTATTCCTACAAGCAAGACCAGCAGCTCTGTGTTTTACGGACTTCACTGCGGTGCAGTTACAGCGAAGGTACAGGACCAGCAGCTCTGTGTTTTCTGGACTTCACTGCGGTGCAGTTACAGCCTTCACATCGCTGAACAACTGGCTGGCACACAAGAGGCCATTTAATTTTCAGACTGAAGCAGTTTCAAAACAAGGAGGGCTGGGGAGGATATCAGATGACTAATTAGGCAACAAAAGTCAGAGGCTTCATGCAAAGCCAAGCAAATACTCAACCATATTAATGCAACTGTCTTGTGAAATTTTCCACCCTGCAATACTAACATCAACCAGAAAAAGTGACACTACATATACATCCTACTGCAACGGACACACAGATTTGGACCTCCAGGAAACGTCTGCTGTCAACATAAGCTTCTTGACAGGTAAAGCCTGTAACGAACAATTATCCGAAAGGGATGAAAGCTCAGCTGATCTGTCAGAATAGCACATGCATACACAAAAAAACCACTGGTGACGATGCAAACTGATTTCAGATGGTTTTAAGTGATGTTCCAGGTGCTAAATGTTATGTCACTCCTGATGCTCTCTCCTGAGATTTTAATCTTGTATTTGAAGCTATTTTTATCTTCCCAGCCCTCTGCCACCTAAGCCACAAAACAGATGGGGAAAACAACACATAAAGGAAGAGTTAAGGAACAGAGATAAAAATGGCCCATCCTTACATGTCAGTAATTTTAGACTTCTCTCCTGTCTGTGTACCAAGAAAGCTAAAGAAACCAATAATCCCCTAAACAACCCCATACATCTTCCAAAACTGCTAGCACTGATTGAGGTATCTGAAGAAAACCCACCTTATTAACAGTCCCTTTAGGTGAACTATTATATGCTGGCACATAAGCAGTAATTTAAAAAGATGTCAAGATACCCAGAAAACAAGCAGTGTAAAAAACCCAGAAAACAAGAAGTGTAAAAACCCACTTTCTATCACCAGACTGAAATACGCAGCTATGAAATTGTTACTGTGGTCAGCAAGATGTCCCCGACTACAGAGGCTGGAAGAGGAACCATAAATGCTGTCTCAGAGAAAGAGGAGCCGCCTTCCAGCACAGGACAATTACCCTGAGTTTCCAATGTGACAAGCTAGAGCTGGTCTCCAAGAAAAAGCCAGCAGAAGCTGGCTCCAAACAGGAGGTATCACTATAAATTTGCTTTCCAAAAAAACCCTGAACCCCCTAGGAGGAATTACAGCTGTTCTTGAATGGTGATTAAATGCTCGCTGGGTTTTTTTGGTTTTCTTTAATTGCCTGTTCCTAGCAGGCTGCATATTCTAATTATTTGATGTACTGCTGACGTTTGAATTTGAATGGATGCAAGGCAGCACAGATCAAAACACTAAAAGAAAGAACACACTGGAGGAGAAAGAGAACATGGTATGGGAAAAGATGGGAATATTAAGAAAAAATGGAAGCAGCACAGAAGATAAGTAGTATGACCAATTGTATGAAAAACTCCAGTAGAGCAGAAGAGGAACCAAACAGCTAGCAAACCATGAAGATTAATTCCTACCTGGAAAAAAACGTCAAGCAATAAAGGTTATTATTCACTGCAGTAAAGGAACACATGGTTTAATGATTGCTGAAAAAAATATTTTAAAACCTAGCCTGATTTCATTAGACTGTTTATTTCAAATAGACTGAATATAGCTTGTCCAGCAATTACTTTCTTACCCTCAAAAATAGTTCTGAGGTGGAACATCTCTGACATCCTTCCTTTTCAGTATTTCTTATCTTCATGTTTAAAAATAAATATAAAATGAGCTCTTTGAGCTACAAAATTCAATTCCACAGTTTAAGGACATGGCGTTCAACCTCTTTCAAACTAAGCAGTATGTTATATTCATCATCCTTCTGGTCTGTGAACTCAGTGGTCTAACACACTGTCCTCTCTGCTCTTCCTCCTTCACAGGATGATGCCAACGCAGCACTCCATCGTGCTGCAGCAGTCCCAACGCTGTTCACCCTTCTGAACATGGCAGTTAACATGACTCTTGCAGTCCTGAAGAAACGGGGACCAAGCCAATTTCAACTGCAGTCTGAACAGAAAGATCGGTATGGTTGAGGAGCCCTAACCAAAAGCTAAAGGGACTGACAGTCTGCACCACCAAGATGTACACGATGGGTTTTAGCTTCCGTGTCCATTGTTAACGGAAAGAACCCGACCGTATGTAGGAATGACCGTATGTAGGAAGAGAACAATCGTCGTTCATTCTTCAGCAAATCATGCATCCCAGCATCTCAACCAAAAATAAAACATCCAAGCCTGGTTCCGTGTCCTTTGTTAACGGAAAGAACCCGACCAACTGTATGTAGGAAGAGAACAATCGTTGTTCATTCTTCAGCAAATCATGCATCCCAGCATCTCAACCAAAAATAAAACATCCAAGCCTGGTACCTGGCTGCACAGCAGGACAACCTGGATACCCAGTGGGTATTGTGCAAGGGCGAAGATGTACCAAGGGCAATCAAATGAACAATCACGCTCTAATGATAGACGTTGCTGATAGCTGGCACTTTCTCCCCCACTCCACAACCCAGGAAGCCTTTTTAAGCTGAAGCTGACTTACAGTATTGGGAAGCTGCTTTTGGGGGGAGGATGGGATTGGGTGCAAAGAGGGCCCAACTCTGTGTAGTCAGGCCGTAAGGGTATGTGGATCATCCAGATGTTCACAGCTCTCCCAAGCCTTTCCTGCAGTTATCCCCTCTCCCAAAACCCACACACATTTTCCTGCAATCAAGATAAGTTGCTAGGAAAAATCCTAGAGCAAACACAAAAGAATATAGGAAGTAGTCTGTTCCCCCAAAGATATATTGCAAAATAGTATTTTGAAATACAGGTGCGTTTAAAAGCCTGTCCTCTTCACAGAGAATCACAGAGTGGTTTGGGTTGGAAGGGACCTTAAAGCCCATCCAGTTCCACCCCCCCTGCCATGGGCAGGGACACCTTCCACTAGACCAGGTTGCTCCAAGCCTCATCCAGCCTGGCCTTGGACACTTCCAGGGATGGGGCATCCACAGCTTCTCTGGGCAACCTGTTCCAGTGCCTCACCACCCTCTCTGAGAAAAATTATTTCCTGAGGAAAAAGAGGATGAGGAGATTGCACAGCTGAAGAGATGGAGTGCTTCGCTGCTTCAGGAGTGCAGAATACCTCAGGAAGCAAGAACAGTTGTTTACATGCCCAGGAGATGGACCCCTGCCTGTTTCAAGTAACACCCCCCCGACTTCAAAATTACACCGAAGGTTAAATTCTTCACCTACTGTTAAAAAAAAAAATATTAAAAAAACCCAAAACAAAACCAAACCACACATACAAAAACCCCAAACCCTCTAATCTAAAGGCCACCTGCTCTACACTTCTCCCCCAGGTGAAGCTGTAGTGTAGACACCAAGGAGATGTGCTTTTACCCCCAGGTGAAGCTGTAGCAACCACACCAAGCAGATGTGCTTTTAGCAGCAGATTCCAAAGCGTATGCACTCTGACCAAGCCCTTCTCAACTTTCCTTGACATTCACCGCTTTGGTGTAACTCCGCAACACTGACGTTACAGATGTGCACGGAACTGAACGCAGGAATGAGCGAGGCCGGGTAACGCACACCCGATAAACACCGAGACCTGCACCGGCAGCCACGGCCGCGCGGCAGCCACGGCCGCGCCGCTCGCCCCAGGAGCCATTCCAAAGTCATGGAGTCGGTGAGGGCGGAGAGACGCCACCTTCACTTCACACGCGTGAATCTGAAAGTCAAGCTTGGCCTCCCTGCGTGGGGAAGGGCGGCAGAGGCCAGCTCCCTTCATACCCACCGCCGTCCCCCACAGAGGGCCGGGGTAGGGCCACGGCGCCGTCCCCCTTCCCCTCAGGTCGCCATGCTCACCGGATCCGGCGCCCAGACGAGCTGCGCCACGA